AACAAAGCCGAAAATCAAATTTCTAAAACCATGCGATTTTTGACAACATCAAGCTTTCTATTTTTCTAGACTATCGGCCTTCCTAGAACAAAACTGAAAAAATAAACCAGAGAGACTGACGTAAGAAGGACAGTATGGTTAAGCAAATTCCGGGGGGACAACAAAAAATATTTAACATACCATATCTCAAAATATAATCATCATAGCAAAAAACGGTTTCCGGCATTTTACTCCTCAAGTCATGGCCTTTCCAATGACATAATCTTTTTATCGGATTTTACAAAAAATTATAGCACGTTTTGGTGACGTCATCAATTATGACATCATAATATGACATTTTGTCACAACTTCCAAATCAAAATAAACTGGAGAACAAAGAAAGCTCATCTGCTAAATAAACTTGGTTCAGAAATATATAAACCAAGCAAATATAGCTTCATGAAACATTAGGGGGGTGGTTTGGCCTCTACGTGAAATTGTGAAGGTTTAGTTTCCAGTGACTGTTTAGAAAGGAACTTAACAGCCATTTTCCAAGCTATTTCCATATTCTTAATTATGATATTTAAAAATGACTATTTAAAGCTATTTTTCAAATAGTGGGAAATTGTACGTAATGGTCATGATTAATTGGTAACAGGACATCGGGTCGTCCAAGTCAGTCTGTAATCATACTCGTTATCAACAAATCGGACTCCCGCTTCGCGGTCGTCCGATTTTACGCTCATCACTCGTATGATTACAGACCGAATTGGACTCCACTCAGTCCTATTACCATTATTTCTTAGTTCCACTGAAATTATTTCAATTTCTAAGCTGAATTTAAATCCTAGACAGTTATTTCGATAGTTTGTAATTTGACGGCATAACTTTAAACAATTCTGCAATCGAATATTTTAGCGACATGCAGTACATACAAACAAACTTGCATAAACTTTATTGAAGCTCCCCAATAAGTAGGTTTTTCAGCAGTACGAGACTAACACTCCCAAAACTTCGGTGGCAAAAAGCTGTTATTCGAAACATTAATTTTCAATCCAAAGCAGAGCTAAAACAAAATGTGTTCAAATAAATACGATGTTTCTTAAGTCACAATTTGTTTGTTTTACTGGTATTTTATTATATTTTGTTTCTTGGAGTCCCGAATAAAGTTGTCCCGGGAAGGCGAGTTGTCCTTAGGAGAGCGTTTACAAGGTAGGTAGGGTTACAATTTTGCGAGTACTTTTAAATTGAATGGGACCATTCGGTAACCCTATTATTGTTGACCACCGGTTGGTTACTATATACCGAGTTCGGAAGCTGGCCTGCTATTATGCACCATATATTCTTCATTATGCCGTAACGACAATAAATCCCTTCATTGATCAGTCTGGGGGGTAGGCCGGTTCACACAAACACTCGTGCCTCGCTTATACTTTCACGATCGTGTTGCCCGCGGGGACATTTAACATTTGACAGATTTAACCGCCAATGCGCTTTGTTATGTCTTCGATGTGACGGCAGACGATATTTGCATGTTAACTCCGAGTTCAGTTTTCTGAACACAGTTTAAAGATCATGGAAAGGTAGATTGATAGATATAACAGTGACTGGTGTAATAGAGCTATGTAAACTGAGGTATATTCATTCTTAGGCTGCCTTTACCGATGCTTTCCATATGCGGTGAAAACACTGAAAACAAGTTACCGCAGAAAAGTTTAATTTAAATAAGTTCAAGGCAATGACCAGCCAGATTGCTGCTCATGCATGAAGCTGGTAATTTGCAATTCTAATACAGCATTTATCTTAGACGTTCTGTGGTGTTTTGCACCAAGCGATATACTTAAGACTGTATTCGACATATTAAGCAATAGTTGAGAGTTTCTCCTAAAATTATTGTATAGGATCCTTGCAACATCTAGTCAGCTGCTTTAACAAAAGTCGCGTTTCCAACATGCGTCGAGCATTGAATACATTACAGGAATAGGAAGGTTCAGCTCCTTCATTGGGCAATGCCGCTCGGTCTGAACTGTATGATATGGGTGCGCAGCCGATGGTAAGTTGATTACATGTGTTCTAATTCCTAACTGCTACCAGTTGCTACATTGCTATATACTGGCGTGAATTGAAGTTACACGAAGAGAAAAGAAAAGCAATTTTTCTGGCGTCGCACTCTGGAGCAATAGTTCATTTCTCGCAACTCGCAATAATCACGCGAGTGTGTGCGTGTTTTCTGCGAGTAGCGTCACGAATACCCTGGTAACGCCTGTTTGCCTGGTTCCCAAGCTCTTCATTTGCTGCAAATTTAATTTTCCATCAAATTTTTGAAAACGGCCTTGCCATTTTCCTCGGTTGAGCTTCATCTTTCCCAACGGACCAACAGGGTTATCAAACCTGTCAATAACATGGGTTGTTTGGGATCGAAGGAAGACAAGGATTCTAAAGAAGAACCAAACGAAAAACCAACTTTCAGCTGGCAAGTTTCCTCTTGTCTAGATTAATTGCTGCTCACTAACCACGGACCATCGCCTGTCAAGTCTAACTTTTAAAATACATCCTCTTGTCGTTTAGGGAGAAAAGACAACGCTTAGACCCTAAAGACTACACCATTGGTGATCTGACGGGCGAAACGGTAGCGAAAATGCCCGGAGAAATCAACGGACAACAGTTTATCATTCAAAACAATAAGGTAAGAATATTAATTTTATTAACAATTCCAATCTCCTACTGTATAGTTTATATCGGAAAAAGGGCTTTTATGCGAGTCAAACAGAGAGTTAACGTCTTTTAACATTCACTGGTAAGCTTTCTGCAGTGAAATTAGTAATCGTGTAAACAAGTTGTAGAAGCAAAGAGCAGTTGATTATCGCTTTTCGGTACCTCTGTATGCAGCTGGTCATTGACCAGCTGGACCGAGTTGTTCAAAAGCTGGCTAACGTTACATCAAGAATTAAAAGTTACCTAAGACGTTCATTTTTTTGTGTTTAAATTATTTTCTATCATAATTTTGATTTATTTATCTATTTTTCTTCCATAAAGCCTATTTTTCAAGTTCACCCAAACTGTCACAACTTTTTCTGCGATACGATAGAAACAGGGTTGGAGAGAGGTATATGAGAGGAGTAGTAATTGGCTAATATGAAGGATTTTGAGAAGCTTGCTTGAAATTGGGTATTTGGGAGTTTCAAAAATGTGAACTCTAAATGTTCTTTTTCCCCTTGAATCATTTTTGAAATATCAGTGTTGAAGAAAAAAGTCCTGTCTGATGGAAGTGCATTTTGCAGTCAGGGCAATAGATTGTAATATGTATGGGTTATGGACCAAGTGTGAGTTCAAGATGGCTGGATATTGGCCAAGTTCTTTTTTTGTGTGTGTGTGTTTATGGACCGAGACGGAGTCGAGGTCCATAAACTCGCAAAAAAAGAATGAGGCCAATATCCAGCCATCTTGACTGAACAAGCTTGTTATATGGCTTTCACGGAAATTTTTTTTGTGGCGGGTAGTCTCGAGCAGGCAAGATAGCTCCATCTTGCCTGCTCGGGTAGCCAATCACAGTGCAGGATTTGATTCATCTTGCCTGCTCACGGAGCTAGCCATATAATAATGCTAAATAATGCCTAATTGGCAAGCAAGTGTTTTTGAGAAAATTTCTGGGGAATGCAAATTATGGATGAAGACTTACTGTAATCGATTAAATTATTGTGATAGTTTAATTTTGAATTGGTTTTAAAATCGTGGTAATATATTTAAGGGGGCTAGGTGATGAGAATTATAGCTTTTGGGCCAGAAGGTTATATAACCTTTCAGTTTGTCCAAAGGGCAGGCCAAAAAAATTGTTTTTCTTTGCACCCTGTATATCTACATTGTTTTCCTACTTTCCACTTTTAAGAGCTTGCGTTTTGTTTGCAGAACTGCAATATTTTCATTATGGATCATACAGATACTGTAACAATTGATGACTGTATTAACTGCCAGCTGTTCATTGGACCATGTGCTGGGAGGTATGTACTGTAGCCTGTCATGTAGGGAGCAGTGATGACAACAACAGACCATATCATACAGTGTCTTTCCTTTCATCTAGGGTCATACATTTTCAAGTGGAGCTTTTTATACTAACAAATGTCCTGGAAAACATTAACTTGGATCACTGGCAACATTAGCAGGATCAAAGCATACCCTTAAAAAAAAAAGAAACAAAATATAAAAAAAAAAGAAATAAAAAAATTAAAGAAGAAGAATGAGCAGTATGACCTTCCAACAGTTTGATGATTCAAAGAGTTTAATATACATCGTTATTTAACATTTTTGATTTATTTGCCATGCAAAAAATATAACTGAAGCTAACTACAGACAGACACTGTATGGATCAAAATAATTTACGGACCAAAACTGGCAAGGAGACAGAGAGATAATTATAAAGCTTATATAATTATGTGATTTGGCCTGCCCGATAAATATTTTAAAACTTAAGCTTGGTCCTCACTAGCAATGCAAGCATAGGCATAAACATAAGCATAAAAAGCTGATGTGCTAGTGAGGACAGCCACGACGTAAGCATAAGCGTAAACTTTCTTATGCTTACGCTTATGTTCAGTGAGGACATGGTTGACATAAGCATGAAGAGCTCGCTGATTGGCTGAAAGTCTTTCACTGATGCTTATGCTTATGCTTATGCTTATGCTAGCAAGTCCTCACTGGACACAATAACGACGTAAGCATAAGCATAAGAAGAAGGCAAGGTTTTGATATTCTTATGCTTATGTCGCGGCCATCCTCACTAGTGCATAAGCTCTTTTTATGCTGATGCTTAAATGCTTGCGTTGCTAGTGAGGACCGAGCTTTAGTGGAATACAAATTAAAAGAGTTGATCTATTAAGTGATAGCCAAGAGTAATAGTAATAGAAGAGTAATAATATTATTATTAGTACTAATTTTCCATAGTCATAAGGCAGTATTGAATGTCACTGTAAATAAAATATTTCATAACTGTACATCTTGGTTCAAGCCCTGGAAGGGCTCACTTTGTTGTGTTCTTGGACAAAAGACTACATTGCCTCTTGAAATTTTACCAGTCCAAAGGAGTGAATGATTAATTAGTGCCATGGTTTACCTTGGTATGGACTTGGCGTGACTTCACCTACATGTAGCTCACCTTACTTTTTAAATGCATGAATTCATACTTGCACAGTAGCTGACACTGTTGTAAATTTTTTCTATTAATTTTGTTGCTTTGTTTTATCATTATTCACAGTGTATTTTTTAGAGACTGTCAAGATTGTAAAGTTGTGGTAGCATGTCAACAATTTAGGTGAGTGAATGTACGTCAGTCTGCATACCATATTTTCTCCATTATATGCCAGGTCTCGCAGGTATATTTGAGATTTATTAAATTGTATGTAATGTACAGTAAATCATAAGATATTTGTCTCTTGAAATATTGAATAAAAACTCTATAAACTCCAGGACTGGATCACCAAATGCCAAGTTTGGAAATGCTGGGGTTCACTTGTGAAACTACTGTACATGTATATATGCCTGCATGTACAGTTGAAAGCCACTATTTTGAACTCTCAGGGGAAACACAAAATAGTTAAAAAAAATTGAAATTAGTAGTAAATGACTGACAGGCAAATCCAGGGGAAATGGTTTTGAGTTTGAAATAATGGGGATGGAATTTGAACTAAATGAGTTTGAATTAGCAGGGTCTGACTGTAGATAGCTAACTGTCATAGTCTCTAAGAGGCTCTGTCAGATGTGTTTTTATTTAATTTATAATGTTGACTTTCTTTATACCTATCCTTTTATTAGAACTCGAGACTGCAAGAAAATGGACTTCTTTCTATGCTGTGCTACTCAACCAATCATTGAGTCATCAAGTGCGATGAAGTTTGCCTGTTTTCAATTCTTCTATCCTGAGCTAGAAGGTGAGACACTAATCTTTTGCTCACTTTTGCAGCATTTTGCTACTGTATTGTAGTTGTCTCCAGTACACTAGGGTCATAGCTACAGCTTAGTAACAAGCAAACTGAGGCACTTGCCACAGTCACAGTCAAGTTTTTGTTGTCTATGTAGTCATCGTAAACACCCTACGTACCATGGAAGAGAATTTAACAGCCTCAGTCATAATTTTTTCATGGACATTGCCTCCATCATATATTTTTTTTCAATTGGACATGGCATCAGTCTTATTTTTCTCCTGCTATGCTCCGGTACACTCTGCAAACGTGGAATAAGCTAGTTACAAAAAGTTCATATATATTACATGGACATGTGTCTGAAACAGGGTACTGTTTAGTGGCTTACAATATCACAATTAACTTAATTCTGACATTTACCTGGTAATTTTGGGCAGTTTTGTATTTTATGCTTGAAATTACCTCTCATCCTGATCGGATCATAGTTAATACAAGTGATATGTACAATCTAACCGTGAAAAGGGCTATTGATTGTCCATGACCTTACAGATGTTTTATATATTACAGGTCAGTTTGAGGCAGCAAAACTAAGTGTTTTTAACAACAACTGGGGTAACATTCATGACTACACACCAGCTGCAGGAGAACGAACCTGGAGTTTATTACCTGAGGTAACTATATATCAGAAGTGACAAATTCACTCATTCATGTACAGACTGTACCTCCACTCGCTCACTCATCCTCATCGTCCTGGCTGGGACATAAGACCATCA